GAGAGAGAGAGAGAGAGAGAGAGAGAGAGAGAGAGAGAGAGAGAGAGAGAGAGAGAACGCTGCTTTGGAAAGTAGTCTGTTGAAGATAAAACCCAGCTTTTTCTCACAAAACTTAATGGGGAGATAGATCCCCAACAAACAAACAAAAAAAAAGGCAAAAAAAGGAACCTGAAAGGCTGCAGATTATATCCCATCAATGCCAGTCGACGTTTTCAACTGCACCATTGCCTAGGAGCTGTCCCACCCCCCCCTCCCCTCCCCCCGGAGGTGGTGAGAATATCTTCCCTCCATACAAGCTACACCACTTCACAACACACATACCGATTCACAGTTTCTGGTAGTCATTCTCCATCTGACCTGACCTAATTTTCATCCTCATGGAGTCCACAACCATTTTTCTGAGACGGTCTAATCGCGTCGGTTATACTAGGCGATTTCGACCAATCAAACTCCCCGAGCGAGACTCTCCGCGAGCAAGACTCCCCGAGCGAGTTTGACTGCACTTCGGTCGCGTAGTCCCAAGATTGACAGAAAACTTGAAACTTCGAGATCGAAGACCATCATCGCAGATCCGGTACGGCTATGTACACGGTTGCAAGGGAGTTGCAGAATTTCCTTCGATCTAAACAGTTCCCGACACCTCCGAGTCTCCGACCAATGATAATCCTCCGCAAATTCTCTAATCAACGAAAAAGTGTCCCACCGTCCAAGTCCGTCATAAGTTACGATGACAACACCTTACATCCTGAGCACTACTCCGGATCCACCACGCCGACACTGACCCTCGCAAACTTGCCGATCTGCCGTCTTTTTCTTTTCCCTCATTTGCATGTTGTGTGTGTGCGCACGCAATCACGAGTAACTCCCCTGATCTGTCTGTCATCCTCCAATCTATCCATATGTCTGTGGGTGCATGTTCGTTGATCTCCACTCCGTCGCCTTTTGCAACCTGGCAAGAAGAAGCTGTGTGACATGTGCGTCGTAGCAAAGCAGCAATGGTGCCTGTCAATTCAATTCAAGTGAAGAGGAGAGGGCCTGGTCCCACCCCTTGGGACCAAGCCGGTCCCACCTCTTGGGACCAAGGGATTGCAGTTCCAATTGCTGCATGGGACTACTTTGCTCTTCTTACCCTGAAAAAAGGGTATTATAGGTCACATCCGCACGGATTCTTCTTCTCCCCCTCCCCCCCCCCCCCCCCCCCCCCCCCCCCCCCCCCCCCCCCCCCCCCCAA